GATACTTAATGCGCCATGGGACACGTAGCACTGAAGGCACCCGGGGAATGGCCAGATACGTCGCGTGTGTGTAAATGCATGTTGGAAAATTGGTGGAATGTCTGAAAGGCTTTTTAATGCCTTTTACCTTTAGCCTTTTTTTCTTACGTCTAAAAGAAACAGAAGGAAACCTGTGGTCTTTTCTTATCACCAAAAGCCCATTCATCTTGTTGAGACGGCACTGTTGTTCTGACTCTGGGTCCCTTGGGTGGCAGCTGATTTTTTTCCCCTCAGCCGTGTCTTGAGCACAGGTGGAGAGAAGTCATGCCAACAGACCACGTGCCTCAGTTCTTCTGCTGGGGCTCTGGTTCCTCCCACAGACCCATGTAGGAGAGTGATACGGACTTGTGTCCTGGGAGCAGAGGGGCCTAGGGTGTACCTGACCCTCACTTGGTGTCAGCATGCAGGCTAGAGGGTTAGGCCAGCCTCCCAGCCTGCCCATTAAGCCCTAAAACCCAGGCACCAGAGCAGCTGCAGAATTGTCCAGTTCAGCATCTCTGGAGGGTTCTCTGTCTTCCCCCTCACCTTTCCTCTGACTCCTTTCCCCAATCCCCTCACTTCTCTCAGGGGAGATGGGACAAGTCATCCCTTTTCAGTAGCCAGAGCCCCGAGCAGTGGCCAGCCAGGGCTGCAGCAGGTCCAGTTGGGGCATGCAGTGTGTGCCAAGGGTGAAGTCCCCATGTGCACAGGGCATACACACACTGTGTCTGTGCTTGGGCCTGTGTGCAAACACAGTTTGCATGCCCAGGCTTGTTTATGAGGGCTCGGCGTAATTGGCTTTCCTCACTCAACACCTCGGCGCCCCCCCTCCCCCCCCATCCCCCCCCCATCCCGCTAGCCCCCTCTGCTTCCCTCCTCCTCAAAAAGTCCAGTGGTGGAAAACCCACCTATCCGCCTCCAGATGCGCTGTGGCGTGGGGAGGGGCGGGGCTGCGGCATGGTGGAGTAATTGGTGAACCTGAGGTGAATGAAATAATTGGAAAAGTGAGGTGTGAGTTTGTTACTGAAGTGTGAGCGAGGTGGGGGAGGGAAGGAGGCCACGTTTAAAAGCCCGGTGTGTCCTCTTTATTCACAGTTTCTGATACAGTAATTGCTATTTTGTGGTTTCTATTATCTACACAGTGGGGAGTGTGCTCGTCTCCTTCCCCGAGCCCAGTCTGGGTTCGGGGGGTGTTCCTGGGCGCCCCGTGAGTTGCCTCCCTCTCTGGTCCCTGGGCGCCCTGCCCAGCCTCGCCCAGGCGGTGGCCTCTGCCCCCAGGAGACAGGGTCCACACAGAACTTCCTTAGGAAGCTGCTCTTAAAAATGGCCCCGTGGACTTTGCTGTCAGATAAGAGCCTTAGTAATGGCTGGTATTTATATATATCGCTTATCTCCAAGGAGCTAAAGGTACTTCATTGATTTTTTTTCCCCCAACCCTTTTTTTTTTTAATTCTCTTTCGATATCTCTCTGAGATCATTGGTGTTGGCCTTATATTATTCCTACTCAGTTATACCAGCAATCAAAGCCGTCCACTTTCCCAGCATTGTTCTTGAGCATCAGTGGGAAGAGCTCGCCTGGGTTTGGAGTCCTGGGCTGTGGGACGTCTGCAGGTCACTTTGCCTCTCTGGTCCTTGGCTCTCTCATGTGTAAAAATGGAAGCAGGAGCACTATTGGCTCACAGTTCCTGCGCCTAGGCAAGCATGTATGTAAAAGGCCCAGCACGTTGCAAGCGCTGGGGTTTTGACAGCAATGGTGGTGTCTTGAAAGCTCAGCTGTTCATGGCAAGGCTTCACAGACATCGGCAGTTCTTTCTAAGATCTAACCCTAATCTTCCAGCTGCTCTGTAAGCTCCAGCTCTGTCTTGTCCTGTTCTCAGAAGGAAGGGGAAATGAACTCACCAGAACCCTTTCCCTGAGCCCTGAAGAATAATGGGATTTTTTAAGCTACCGGCATCTTTGGACACAGCATTTCGTTTGCGGTGCAGATGACTGTCTGGAAACACCAGACAGGCTGCGACCTCCGCACGGCCTCCCAGCTGCCTGACACAGGATGCCCAGCTCCCTGATCCCTGCCCGAGATCCCTTATGGATCCAGGGTACCCCTCTCTCACAGCTCCCCCTGCCGAGCCCTCAAATGCCGCTTCTGCAGGCCACGTACACCCAGCTCCTTCAGCCTCTCCTCCTCAGCTTTTTTCTCCACCTTTTAATTACTTTCCTCGCCTTTTGCCGGACCCTCAGCTGCTTACCATGCACGGAGCATCCACAGCTTGCAGTGGGCTGCAGAGAGGGAGGAATTAACTGCAACAGTCTTTCTCTCTCTCTCTTTCACATGCACACCCACACATAGCCTGGCTCACTGGAAACTAGACACTGCTAAGAAGAAATGCGAGCAGAGGACATTGAGACCGTGAAGGGACGGGATTATGGCCCCTTTGGGCAAAGACAGGAGGTTTGCACGCAGTGTGGGTGGAAGGAACTGGGACTCAGTCGGCCTCCCTCGCCCTGGGGTGTTAGGCAAGTCACTGGACCCCTCAGAGTCCACATAAGGAATTGGTAGCCACCCCCACATGTGGGGCCAAGCCTCAGAAAGAAAGAGACCCCAGCTCCGGAAAGTGGCCAGCCCCCTCCAGGTAACTGAAGGGGATGGAGCCTGGTGCAGCAGAGAGAGTGAGCTCCAGCTTGACATCAGCCTTGCTGAATTCACAGACTGGCCCAGCTGCTTACTGGCACAAGCTGCTGCCTCCCTGAGCCTCAGTTGCTTCATCTGTAAGATGGGGTGGTGAGACTGATAATTGACAGTGGTGCCATTCACGGGTACTCCCCGGCTTGCTGTGTGTAGTCCCCCACAGCCCTCTACGTCAGGTAAGGCACCTTCCAGGACTACTGTTCGCTTGTGTGTTCATCCCAAAAATGCTTTCAGGCCTCCACTCTGAGCCGGGCACTGGCTGCTTGCTGCAGATCCCATGAGCGACACAGATGTGGTTTCTGATCTCGTGGAGCTGAGTTACAGCCCCAGGGGACGGCGGGGAGCTGCACAGGTGTCCACGCCACCATGCCCTGGTAGGGGAGCACGGTGCACCCTGACTGCTGGCGGGGCATTCCCCCGGCCACGGGGAGACCGGCAGAGGCTGCTGGAGCAAGCCACAGTTACACCGAGGCCCAAAGGAGGCTGGGGTGGCGGTGGAGAGCAGCAGAGAGATCAGCACACCCCTAGGTTGTCTATGTCCGTGTCTGCAGCGCCCAGCATGGCCCTGCACATAGCAGGTGCTGGCTGAGGCCACCCTGTGCCTGTCAGCCTTCTCACACTGGGTCTGAATGCTCTCAGACTCTGGTCCTCATGGCCATCAGATCCTGCAGTCCATGTGGCTCTCTGAAGAACTTAGAGCCAAAGGACCATTTATCTGAAGGAGCTGACAAGAAAACATCCCTCCTGTGCCCTGCCCATCCAAGGCCAGCCCTGGCAGAGGCCCGGGCTCCATGCGTAAAGAGGCAGCGTGTCTGTCATGGGCCGCATCGGCCTTTAGGTGGCAGAAGAAAGCAGGGTTTGCGGGCTCGGCTCCTTTCGGCTCTCCCACCTCACCTTCTTGCTTGTCCCCACGTGCCGCCCTCTGGGCCCCAAAAGGCCCTCCCCCGAATTGGAGCCTCAGCCGGCAGCCAGAAAGACTGACAGGGCTCCGCTGGCGTCCTCTCCAGCCCAGCCCCTCCCCTCCCCGGGAGGCTGGCCTTGTAGCCAGCAGCCCGGTTTCTGTGGCCTGCTCAGAGAGGCCCCAGGAGGGGGGAGCGGAGCTGCTAGGGAGAGCTCCGAGGAGACGTGCAGATTCATTTTGAGGACTCATAATGCTGCATTTACACACCGTCCTGCCTTCGGAAATTGGGCTGGCACATGCCTGGTCATGCTGGCAGGGCCGCGGGTTAACGCCTCGGATTTAGCTTATATCATTTCACGAGAGCTTACGGCCTTTACCGTGTTTTTTACCCAATCGGTCTTTGGCCCTGAAGCCTCCTAGACTGTCGTTTGTGTGTGTGTGCGTGCGTGCGTGTGCGCGTGTGCTTGCCCAGACCCCCGCAAGTGTGCATGGATTTTCAAATAAAATAATACCTCTCTTCAGATGCCATGCACATCAAATATTTATTGGCGGCAATTTGTGTGTATATATGTGATAAATGGACATTAGGATGGGGTTGGGGCAGGGGAGTGAGGCAGACAGCACTGGAGGTCCCATCCTTTTGTCCGGGACTTGCTCAGAGGTTTATCCAGGAGGCAGGGAGGGCCCGGGGATGGGCCGAGCGCTGTTTACCTGTTTGATCCCTGTCAGGAGCGCCAAGCCATTTCCTCCCACAGGGCTTTGCCTGACTTTGGCTTAGCCAACATCAAACGAAAGCCCAGAGGCGGGGGGAGTGGGGTTCATGGAGTAGCTGCGTGTCACTCGAGCAAGCGGAGCACTGAGAAAGCATCCCAGGCCCGTGGGGAGAGGGGCTCCTCCTGTTTGCTCAGGGCAGGCTCCCCATGCTCAGCTCAGTCGTGGAGGCGGGTTCAGGTCAGGAGACCCTGCTGACCCAGAGTCCGAGGCCCCAGCTCGCACGGGAGCAGCCCCTGGCCCTGGCCGTGCATGTTCAAGGCTGGATCCCCTGCCAAAGATTTACCTGCATGGGCAAGAGGGGGACAAGTGTGCCAGCTGTCAGAGGAGCTGAAAATTCTCCAGCAGCGTCTCCAGCCTGATGCTTCCCTCCCTGCCCGGCGTGATGGCCAGGGCCTGGAAGGAGAACGCCACTCATGCCCCAAAGCTTGTGCTGCCAGTGGGAGCTGACGTGTGGGTGCGTGTGTGTGTGTGTGTGTGTGTGCACGCGCGTGCGTGTGCACACACACACACCTGCAAGCGCTTTCCTTCTCTGACGGAAGGGATTAGCATGTGGGAATGGGTCCTGCCACGTCCCCCTTTGCAGGCCTCAGTCCTGACCCTCCCGTGTCCTTTTGTCCCCAGCACCTTCGGGGAGCTCAAGACCGTCCGCCTGCCGAAGAAGCTGACCGGGACAGGCTCACACCGCGGGTTCGGCTTTGTCGACTTCCTCACGAAGCAGGATGCGAAGGTGAGCTGAGGCCCGGGGCCTGTCGCCACCCCGTGTGGTTTTCTTGTTTCTCCCCGACCCTGCTCATTTGCACAACACCCTTGGAAGAGACTGCCCTGGGTTTTCTGTTTGAAGCAAAGGCGATTCTGTGTCCCCCTCACTCCCGCATGTCACATACACAGGAAACTGGGGTGCAAAGTGGGGAAGCACGTGGTTTCCCAGGCCTCCCAGGGCAGACAAAGCTCCCCGGTCGTGAGCCCCCAGAGCGGGGAGAGGCCGTGCAGAATGTGGGGCATCCAGGGGACAGTGCTTGGGAAGAAGGCCACGAGGCACCCCAGTGGGAACCTGTGGGGACAACTCCTTCCCTGGCCCTTCCTCCGGCGGCCAGGACTTCTGTTTTGTGTTGGTCACAGGTGAGGTCCACCCAGGTAGGTGCTGCCATGTGTGTGCCCCTGTACAGGACTCCACCAGGCTCCTCGGAGACATAGAACACCTTTTCTTTTTGAAGCTAGATCTGGGCTCCATCCTGGCAGTATGTGCTGGGTCCTCCCCTGGCCCCCGCGGCAGATGTGGGGCAGAGGTGGTGTGATTGGGGTTCCAGCTATGTCCGAGGTCGCTGCCCCTGCAGCACCAGGTCACAATCCCCAGGGGAGGTGACAACAGCACTGTCATCGTGGGCTCCCTATGTGAATTCTGTGCCCATGGGATGCCATCCCCCTTGTGGCCTCCCCTTTCCCCGAGGCTACGATAAAGCTAAGGGCAGCCTCGCTGACAGCTGGCCTCCCCTCCACCACTGACAAGCATCCTCTGGAAAAGCACAGTGTTGTTGGCATCACGCCCACTGGCCTTTAGCAAGTTGGCATTGCAGTGGCCCCGTGGGTGAAGCCGAAGGTGACATCACAGGGACACAGCTGTGTCTTTGTGGGCCCTGGGAACATGCACAGGCAGAGAGGCACCCCCGGGCCCTCGAGGAGCCTTGCCGGCCACCTTTGTCTCAGCGTCTTGAACTCAAGGGCCTGTTTTGTTGACACGTGGCCACGTTTGTCAGGACATCTGTTCCTCTTTCTTCTCGCTGGCAGCCTTTCCCGCGTCTTCCATCATGACAGCAGGGGCAGCACCCTGCGTGCAGTGGGCTCACGGCCCTGGTTCCCATCAGTGTGGCAGGCACCTTAGTGGTCCCTGCGTTGGCTCGGAGGAAGCCACGGAGGGCAGCCATCCAGAGCCCGGGCTCTTAGTGCTGGCAGCTGGGCTTCCCTCACCCCACCCCGTGCCTCAGTTTCCTCGCCTGTTAAACAGGAATGACAACAGGTCCCACCTTCAGGGTGAAGGCAGTTGGTGCACATGAAACCCTGACACCAGTCCTGGCAGAGTGTTCAAGACAAATGAGCTGTTCCCACGAGTCCAGGTCCCCTCCGAGCTGGCTGGCCCTTCACCCGCAGACAGAGAGAAGGGGAGTGCAGGCAGTGTCTGCTCCACTGCCTTCCGTCGAGCACTGGGCTTCCCGGGGCATTGGGCAGTGAGGCTGTAGGACCCTTGGCGTCTGTTTCATATGAGGGTTCCTGCGCGAGCCTGTGAGTCAGGGAGGAGGGGGGGCTTCACTCCCTGGCCCTAAGCAGTGTCTCATTAATGGCCAGGATCAAGGCCAGCTGTTAGAGTCCAAACTTTGAAGCCAGACAGTGTGAGTTTGAATCCTAGCACTGCCACCTACCTGCCGTGTGACTGTGGGCCAGTGACTTCCTGTCTGCGTGCCTCAGTTTCCCCGCTGATACAACAGTAACAGGATTTTCCCCGTGGAGTTGTTGGGTGAGGAGATGATCTTAGAACAGGGTCCGCCCTGTGGGCTCTTCTGTTAGCCGTGAGGAGGAGGAGGGTGGCGATAGTGGCAGCAATGGAGACGATCCAGAAAGACGGGACGAGGAAGGAGCGAGAGAAATGGCGGCGCCAGAGCCCCTTCAGCTGGAAGCCGCCCTTCCACACAGCGGCCTCTCTCCAGAGCCGAGGCTGGTGGCAGAATTGACACGGCTCCTGGGGTCTAGGGGTCAGACCAGGCGCAGGCTCCCAGCCTTGAAATTCCAGGCGCCCCATTGCCGGGACGCAGTCGGTACGCTTGTGTTCCAGCGTCGTAATAACAGAAGGGGGCTTCTCAGTGAGGCGGGGCAGCGCTGAGGCCCGACTGGACCACGCTCGGCACCCAACGCCGGGCTGCAGATGTTAATTCTGAAGCCCAGCACAGCCCTCTGGTGATTTATGGAGGTGGCTACCCTGCTCCATCCCTTCCCTGCCTTCGATTCTGGGCTCCAGGAGGAGAAAGGGCAGAGGACACCAAAGACTCAACCCTCAGCCCCTCCGGGTTGGCTCTTCCTGCCCCTGGCCTCCAGCAGGCGGCAGCCTGGCTCCGGAGCTATTTCTGGCCCCGTCATCCCCCCTCTCTGCCCCAGGTGATGCGGCGCCCGAGGGCCCTTTGTGCCCGCCAGCGTACAAGCTGGTCTTGCACAAAGTGAACCGACCGGGAGCGCCTCTCTCCTGCAAAGATCCCTTTGCTCTTTTTGCTTCCCAAGAAGCTGCCGTTGCTTCTCCTCTCCTTCTCCCTGTCTGCCTGAAGAACTTGATTGTCTTCCGAGTGGCACGTTTAGCACTCTCCACTGACCCGTAGAGCTGCGCGCACTGCATATTGGTGAATAGAATTCTGAATATTGTAAATATCTAGTTAGCTCAAGGGTGGGCGTGAGTTTGAAGAGGAGAGCGATGCTGCACAGGGAGATTGAGTGACAAACCCCGCAGATCTTTTTTGCTCAGTAAAAGGAATTCATGGGAATCCCAGGATTGGCGGGGAAACCTCCATGAGCCCCAGTTTCCCGGGGCCAGCTCCCCCTACGTGGTCCTCCTTTTGAAGCACTCTAGGGAAGGAGTCCTCCTTTAGAAACCCCTCCCGGAGCTTGACTGACCCTGACCCACTGGAACCCTCACCAAGGGCTTTGTCCCACTTCCTGTCATGGCGCCCTCCGTTAAGATAAATAGTCGGTCGCTCTTAGCATTGGCAGCAGCTTGGACCTGGAGATGTAAGCCTCCTGTGGGGGCCCCAAGCAGTCCTCGGATGGGGAAAAAGGAGAAGGGAGGAAAAGACGAAAGGGACTCCCAGTACAGTGCTCCTCCCTGGGCATCAACTGGTCCGCTTCGACAGCTGGCAGAGGAGAGAAGAATTAGGCTCCGATCAATCCCCAGAGTCATCCCCTTGTCACCACTGTCTCTGCTCAGGCCCCAAGCATGTGCCTCCGTGCACCCAGGGATTCTGAGTCTCAACCTTTCTGCATGACACCATGTTCCACCCTGCACATCATCGGGCACTCCGTTATCTGCCAAGCCCCTCTGGGTCAAGCACACACCCCCAGACTGGAAAGAGAATCCTAGCATGAGGCTCTGCGAAGGCTGTTGTGGCGGAGCTCAGAGTAACCAGGCAACTGATGACAATAGCCAGAGGCTCCTGCGACCAATGCACCGGCTTTGTATGTGACATGTACACCGTACACGCATTGTCTCATCCCAACCTGCAGCGGCCCCAGGATGGCGGGAGATTTGCATAACTCCCTCCCTGGTCCCTCCAGGCATTTGCTGCGCTCCCTCCGTGCAGCTGCTCAGAGCCCTGGGAACTGAGCGGAAGCCCAGACCCAGCTCTGATGCTGAGATGCCAGATGAGGTGGGACCCAGCCTCTACCCTCGTCACGGGCTCCAGGAGCTGGCATGTTCTCCCCCGCAGGAAGAGTTACCAGCCCCCCATGTCCCGGGCAGTAAACATCGGTCCCTCTGAAGGCACCCTATCATCTAAACCTCCAGGTGTGGTGACTCGCGTCTCTCAAAGAGCCTCCCCACGTGGTGGACAGGAGCGGGACAGAGGTCAATGCGGCGGACAAGAAGTCAAGGACTCAAAGGCGCCCCGACCGCGCTGGTCTCCCCTGGGTGCCCTGGGTCTGTGCCTGTGTGTACAGCTATCTGTAGTGTCTCAGGCGCCACAGGATTCTGTAGGCCCTGATGATGTTTCTGGAAGGGCCACATCATGGCGTTGATAAAAACTGTCAACTTCTACAAGCCTGTCTTCAGCAGGGACGGTGCTGGGCATTTGCCTGTGTAATCTTTAATCCTCCTGGGACTCCAGGAGATAGGTGGTAGGGGGCCATTTGACAGGTGGGGAAACTGAGGCTCAAAGGGATGAAGTCACTTGCCCAGGGTCAAACAGCCAGTGCTGGGCAGAGCTGCAAAACTGCACGTGTCAATCTGATTCCAAAGCTCATGTATGCAGGACGTCTTCCCTCCTTGCCTTCGTTTATTCACTTGCATTGAGTGCCAGCTCCATGCCAGCTCTGCTGTGCCAGCCCCTCCTCTTTCCACCACACCCGTCACCTCTCACCCAGCCCCCTCTCACCAAAGGAAAGGACTCGCCAAGTAGAGAAATTTTGGAGGAAGCTAAGAAGTTGGTCCTTAAAACAGATCTTGGGAACAAGCCCAGGATGAACTCGGCTCCTCGCAGCCCCCGGAGGAGGAGCAGGCCCCCGCCAGCACACACTCCGTCTCCTTCCAGCCCTCCCGAGCCCAAGAGATTCCACCTGGGCAGGTGAGCTGGCTTCCCAGCAAGGTGTGCCCATCCCCATTGGCCGAGAGGCCACCAGCAGCCATTGGGATTCCATGGAGAAGCCGCCACGTCCTCTCTCTTCACCCAGACCGGGCTGGTCACGGAGGAAGGAAGGAAGGGCGACACGGAAAGGAAAGAACACAGAGAACAGACTTGCAGCCTGAAACCAGGATGTTAATGTCTCCCGTGCACGCACATCTCCTCCTCCCCGAGCCCGCCGCGCCTTTGTACTTTTGCAGTGCAGCTGTTTTTATTTGCCGCCGCTGCTGTTGTTTTAAAAGGTCTATTTTCACATGGAATGTTATCCAATTAGCAGAGCAATGTGTTGGCTTAAATAAACACTTGGGGGGGAGCCGGCAGTAGGGAGACTCGATGGCGGCTCGCGTTGGCAGGCAGA